AGATGGAGAAACAAGTTTGGGTAGATTAGGAATCTTTCAGTAGCAGCTGTTAGGGTGTTAACAGGCTGTGTAAAGCTGATAAGCAGATCTTGTAATAGATTGTTTAAAGATGATTTCTAATAAAGCATAGTGTTTGCTTGTATCTATTTTGTCTCTTGGTTTATCTTCTGCAGTACTATATTGTGGTGTCATCTTTGCACTTACAAGAACTGCAGACCTCTAAGGTAATCAGGAGAACCGTACTTTCTCATGGTCATCGTAAACGGCTGAGAACATGAATCTGTTTTTACAGTTTATTAAAAACAGATTGGTGGAATATAACGGGTCTAATGAGAGGGATTTCTGACGAATTTTGAAGAAGTTTATTTCTTTAATTTGCGTTGGGATTTCTTCGAAAATATCCGGTAACTTAGCTCTGTCAAAAATGACTATGTTTTCTTGTAGTGGGAAGGTGACATTTGATGTTTAGGGTATGGCTGAAGGTTCTTTGACAAAAAAAAGGGTATGGCTGAACGTTATGTGATACTTGACAACACGTTTATCAGAATCTAGGTTTCTTTTCATAATGCCAACATAAAGAACAATGATAAATGAACATTTTGGGAGGTTGGTTTGTCAATTCAAGAAATGGATGTGAGTGGAGACTATTTATAAAACCAGTTGGCTGTATCAACCTGAGCCATTTAGACGGGGATAGTTTCATAAAAATAACGAATATATATATTTCATTACATGAACCATTTGGATGAAAATTCCAAACTAGCAGTAGCAACAAACATGACTTCAATGAAACTATGAAATAATCCCTAAAACAAAACTGCATTTTTGTCAAATTCTCATATTATATTTTTCGTCATAACCAGTAAAATCACATAATATTCCCTCTAACATTGCAAAATTATTGTTTTCTCATAAACTCACACACTTTCTCAGTTGATGCGAAATAACATTTTCCTAACAAAACATCTTTCCAGTACCATTAAATTACATTTTCTACTCAAACCAAATTTCACATTTTCACTAAAATTGAAAATTACACTTTCTGCCAAAATCACAGAATTATATGTTTCTGATAAACCTACAAAATCACATTGTCTTTCTTAAACCACAATTTTATTTTCCAGGCAAACTGCAAATAATATTTTCTTACCAAAACAGTAGCTAATTTTTTTTTTATCACAAATGATATATTCCATCAAAATCAGTCATATTTTTGCGTCAAAATCACATGTTTCTGTCAAACCAAAAATCACATATTCTTATATTAAAACTCCAAAATCATGTTTTCTTTCCAAAGCCATAAAATTATCTCTTCTTGCCAAATCCCCCAGATCATATTTTCTTTCAAAAACTCCAAGATCTATATTCTCACTAAGATTGCAATTTTACTCTAAAACCACAAAACAACATTTTCTCACCAAAACCACAAATACATTTTATCGTCTAAACTTAAAATAAAATTTCATTCAAAACTGAATAACAATATTTTATTATCAGAATTTCAAAATGAAATTTTCTTGAAAAACTACAAAAGTACATTTTCTTATCAAAACCGTAAAATCACATTATTCGCAAACATAAAATCACATTTTTCTTCCAAAGACCAAAACCACAAAAGCACATAAAAATCACGAAAAAACAAATTTTCACATAAAATCACACAATCATAATTCTATTTTTTGCTTAAAAAATCACATTTTCTGTTAAACTGAGAAAATCATACTTTCCCGTAAAAGTTACATAATTGTATTTTTCCAAACTTCAAAATAAAG